AACACTGGGCCTGGTTTTACCACTGGCTCCCCAGCTGTTTAGCGAAATGTCGAGCACATTCAATATCTTTATTTGTTGAACGACTAACTTGAATGCCTACCATGTCCCCAGAACCGTGGGATGTCTCAGCGTAATCCTCAGGGCCAGCCCCAAGGTCTTAAGCATTGTGACACGTTGATTACGACAGGTGGCTCAGTTCCGAGGTGGCTTATCCAGGGCAAATTTGGATTTAAATCTCTCTGGTGACTTTCTGTGCACCCCTCCAATGCAGTGTTCTGTGTCCAGTGAATCCGTAATAATTATTAATTGATGAGGGTGCTTTCTCAGTCTGAATGCTTAACACATGCTCTCTGAATATGATGGGTGTTGCAGCATATTTTAATTAAATCCTGACAACTTTAATTCTGATTGCTCATTCTAATACTCTTGAGCTGCTAGCACCAAGCTAATGACTTGCTCATTTTGGAAGATATTAGTAGCAGGGTACTGCCTTTTAGCCAAACATCACATCATAATAATTAAAATATGATATTTCTTGAAATGAACTCCTTTAAAGTGATTTCTATTCCACAAACACACACACAGATGCAAGCATATATGTGTCAACATGCTCAAGAATTTACAACACCTTAGAGAAGCTCTGTCCATTTCTTTCCAAAATGAAACGTTTTTTTGTTGACGTGATGATAGACTCCTTACAAGGTTCAGGGGAAATGTGTTTTCCACTGATCAATTTCTGAGTTTCCCAGAAGAGGGGAGCCAGAGAGAAATCCTGAAAACTAATGATGGTGGGAGCAGAGTGTATTTGTACTTTATTGTGCCAATCAGAGCCTAAACCACTGAATCAGAGAAAGAGACAAAGGAAAATCTAATTGTGTGGGAAAGGTGGCGGGAGGACAGCTGAGCAGGTGCGAGAGATGGTATCTGAGTACACAAAGAGATGAGATAATTTGGAGAGAGGATCCAGGAAGCAAATATAATATACTGGGTTAACTCATTGCTCTCACAGAGTGAACATCTCTTGTGCTCAAGGCATCGGAGAGCTGACAAGTTAGCTGCCGGCCATACACCCATGGTGCTTGCCTTAGTGCATGATTCTAACCAGAGGTTCACTCTTGGGCTTTAGTGGGGACTGTGAACCCCCCGAAATTATATGCAAAACTTTGTGTTATGGGGACTTCCCTGGCAGTCTAGCGGTTAAGATGCCATGTTCCCAATGCAGGAAACAGGGTTTCCATCCCTGGTTGGGGAACTAAGATCCCACATACAACATGGTGCAGCCAAACCCTCCACCCTAAACAAAAAACTGCATGTTTATAGATACACATGAGTGTGGGCAGAAATAGAGCAGCACAGTTCTCAACCTCTCCTCTCCTCTGGGACAAAATATATAGCAAGGACCTCATTTTCTAAGACTTCAATTCAGTTCAGTTGCTCAGTCGTGTCCGACTCTTTGCGACCCCATGGACTGCAGCATGCCAGGCTTCCCTGTCCATCACCAACTCCTGGAGTTTGCTCAAACTCATGTCCATTGGATTGGTGATGGCATCCAACCATCTCATCCTCTGTCGTCCCCTTCTCCTCCTGCCCTCAATCTTTCCCAGCATCAGGGTCTTTTCAAATGAGTCAGTTCTTCNCTTGATTCCACCTTGTGCTTCATCCAGGCCAGCATTTCTCATGATGTACTCTGAATATAAGTTAAATAAGCAGAGTGACAATACACAGCCTTGACATACTCCTTTTCCTGTTTGGAACCAGTCTGTTGTTCCATGTCTGGTTCTAACTGTTGCTTCTTGACCTGCATACAGATTTCTCAGGTGGCAGGTAAGGTGGTCTGGTATTCCCAACTCTTGAAGAGTTTTCCACAGTTTGGTGTGATCCACGCAGTCAAAGGCTTTGATGTAGTCAATAAAGCAGAAGTAGATGTTTTTTCTGGAATGCGCTTGCTTTTTCTATGATCCAATGGATGTTGACAATTTGATCTCTGGTTCCTCTGCCTTTTCTAAATCCAAGTTGAACATCTGAGAGTTCACGGTTCACATACTGTTGAAGCCTGGCTTGGAGAATTTTGAGCGTTAGTTTGCTAGAATGTGAGATGAGTGCAGTTGTGCGGTAGTTTGAGTATTCTTTGGCATTGCCTTTCTTTGGCATTGTGTCAAAATATGATATGGAGTTTGCCTTCTCTACTCTTCCCCTGGAAAGGATGAATAAACTGAAGCCATAACCGAAACCAGCCAACAGACACAGATATTTTTCTTCACTTTTGTAAAGTTAAATAGTATCTTCTGCAAAAATCTTAAAAAACAAAAACAACTCCCCAAAGATTTAAAAAAAGACCATTTAAAATAGCGAACTATAGGACACAGTTCATTGACAAGTTCTTGGCAACAGGGTGATGTCATTGGGGACAATTTGAATAGAACCCTTGCTGATCCTTGCTTGATTCTATGCAAAGACTCCTCAAGTGGGGGATGGAAGTGTAGGTCACAGTTTCATCAGAAACTTTCTCAGCACATCCTCCTCACAGTTAAGCTCTTCTGAGTGTTTATTGTAAGCTGAGCAATATTTCAAAAGCTTTGCCTGCAAGGTGTTATAAATCCCACAGCTATTTTATAAAGATAGGTATTATTACTAGGGGCCTCCCAGGTGGCACCTACCAAAGCAGGAGATACAAGAGAGGCAGGTTCGATCCCTGGGTCAGGAAGATCCCCTGGAGGAGGGCATGGCAACCCATACCAGTATTCTTGCCTGGAGAATCCCATGGACAGAGGAGTCTGGTGGGCTACAGTCCATGGGGCTGCAAAGAGTCAGACACGACTGAAGCAACCTGGCATGCATGCATGCATCATTACTAGACCTAATTTACAGATGAGAAAACTGAGGCTCAGTGAGACTCAATGAATGTTTTACAATTCCACACCTAGACGTTTCCTGCTATCTCTACCCCTTTGCGTTAGGAAACACTATAAATGGCCACACTAGAAAAGTAAGGTAGAAAATGAAACTCTATAAACCCAAGACAATAAAACTCCTTTCTTTCTTATGGGGCTATTAATGTCTCTGAGTGTGTCAGACATCCTGAGCAGATTCAGGGTTTGCATTTTTTGACAGCAACATCACAGAAGTCATGTTGTGATCTGTGCCTCACATCAGGGGGTGGGTTGTCCTATACTGGTGATTTGACCTTGATCTCCTGTTAGCTTGGTGTCAGCCAGGTTTCTTCACTGCGAAGTTATTATTTCCTACCCACTCCCTCACTGACATTATTGAATTAAAAAACTTTATGATAAAATATATATAACCTAAAATGACCACTTTAACCATTTGACGTGTCCAGTTCTGTAGCATTAAGTCCATTCTCACTGCTGTGCAACTGTCACCACCATGCTCAGAACCTTTCCATCTTCCCAAACTGAAATTATGTCCTCTGAACAACGATTTCCCCTTCCCCCTTCCACAGCTCCTGGCAACCACTATCCTACTTTCTCTTTCTATGAATTTGACTCTTCTAGGTACTTCACATAAGTGGAATTAGACAGTATATATCATTTTGCGTCTGACTCATTCCACTCAGTATAACATCTTTAAGCTTCATCCATGTTATGTGTCTGAGCCATGTGTCTGACTCATTTCACTCAGTATAACATCTTTAAGCTTCATCCATGTTATGTGTCTGAGCCATGTGTCTGACTCATTTCACTCAGTATAACATCTTTAAGCTTCATCCATGTTATGTGTCTGAGCCATGTGTCTGACTCATTTCACTCAGTATAACATCTTTAAGCTTCATCCATGTTATGTGTCTGAGCCATGTGTCTGACTCATTTCACTCAGTATAACATCTTTAAGCTTCATCCATGTTATGTGTCTGAGCCATGTGTCTGACTCATTTCACTCAGTATAACATCTTTAAGCTTCATCCATGTTATGTGTCTGAGCCATGTGTCTGACTCATTTCACTCAGTATAACATCTTTAAGCTTCACCCATGTTATGTGTCCGTGCATGCTCAGTGGCTTCAGTCATGTCCCATTCTTTGTGACCCTATGGACTGCAGTCCACCAGGATCCTCTGTCCCTGAAAGTCTCCAGGGAAGAATACTGGATTGGGTTGCCATGCCCTCCTCCAGGGGATCTTCCCAACCCAGGGACCAAGTCGGAGTATCCTGTGTCTCCTGCATTGCAGGTGGATTCTTTACCGCTGAGCCAGTGGGGATGCCCTCACTCACATTGTGGTATGTGTCAGAACGTTCTTCCTTTTTTAAGACTGAGTAAATGTTCCCTTGTGTGTATATGCCACATGTTAATGAACTCACCCCAGGATGGACACTTGGGTTGCTTCCACCTTTTGGCTCTTGTGGATAATGCTGCTACAAACTTGGGTGTACAAATAACGAATACCTTTTTCAGACCCTACTTTTCCTTCTTTTGATTATATAGCCAGAACGGAAACTGCTGGATATTACTTTTTCCTTCTTAATTAGCAAGTTTCTTGAGGGGTGCAACGTTGAGACTATATTTCTCGCCCTTTCACCCCCAGCACCTTCAGTTCCTATCTGAATCAATAATTAATCTAACAGTTGCCAAGTAGTAATTTTCTTTCCATCATTCATTCTGCATTTATTAGCTGGCATTCTACTGTAGGGAAGAAATTTCCCTTCTCCCCCATTGATTTACGAATATGGAAGGATTTTATTCAATCCTTTACACCACGGACCCTTTATTGCTCTGAGCAATTCATTTCCATATGACTCCCAAGAGTGCAAGTTTGGGGAAGTGAGGGAACTTTCTATATTTCCTTGTTACCATGAAGAAAGCCAAGAGCGCAGCCCGACTTCCCTAAATTCAGGTGATCGCTTTCCTGCCCACGCGTTCCTTTAAAGTGGAAATCCTCTCTCCCAGGGTGGTCTCACAAACCTCCCGAACGGCCCAGTCCCGCGAGAACTACATTTCCCAGAGCCCTTCTAGCGCCTGCGTCATCAGCGGGCGCGTATTTTTGCTCGCCGGTTTTGAAGAGCCGGCTGTGGCGGCGGCAACATGGCGGACGTGCTAAGTGTTGGTGTCAACCTGGAGGCCTTTGCCCAGGCCATTAGTGCCATTCAGGCGCTCCGCTCTAGCGTGAGCAGGGTGTTCGACTGCCTGAAGGATGGCATGCGGAACAAAGAGACGCTGGAGGGCCGGGAGAAGGCCTTCATTGCGCACTTCCAGGACAACTTGCATTCGGTCAACCGGGACCTCAAGTAGGTACCGGCTGAAGGGGCGGGGGTTCGGGGACCTCCTACCCTGTCCCACCCCCGCGGGAGTCTCCTTAGTCGCGGGCTGCTCTTTCTTTTCGTTGCTCCCTCTCTTTCCTCTCCAAGTCTCTCCCTGCCCCTCAGGGCCTCCTCATCTTCCACCCCCGCTTTGTCGTCTCCCTTCTCTTGGCGTCCTGCTCTTGGCTGACTCCCGCCGCCCAGGACCTCCTCTGTGGTCCTCCCATTCCTTACGAGGGGACGTGCTCTTCCCATGAACTTCCACTCGTCTTCTCGGCTCGTCAGGGTTCCCACCTGTGGGCCCTCTGGGCTCCACCACGTCTGATCAAATAGTACCAAAAGGCCTGCTCAGCGTTGCCCCAGAGTCAAGTGTATTCCACTAATTGGCCACGGGTTTTCCTCCCTGAACCTGGAGTTCATCAGTTCCAGTCCCTACCCCACCCCCAAACATGATGAAACAGGCTTCTTTCTCTTTTCTCCTACCCCACCCCCTAGCCACCTGACCACTATTTTCACTCCCACTCTCACTGCTTCTGTTAAGTTCCTGCCTCTAAAGAGACCTCATCACAGGCTTAACCAGCTCAATGACTTCTGCTTAAATGCCTCATCCCCACACCCCCACCCTGGGCCTCCCAACAAAAGCTAATTTGTGGTCCTTCAAGGTTAAGGATTGTATATTTCTTTCTCTTTCTTAACAGGTCAACTTCTTCTACTTTATCAGTGAAATGAAGTGAGAGGATGCTTGTAAAATGCCTGGTACATAAAAGGCAGTTTTTAATAGGTTCTGGTCATGTGCCCTCCCATCCTTATGAGAGTCAGACCTTCTCAGGGAGGTTAGAATTGCAGGATTTTTGTCTTTTACTTCTCAACACTGACCTTAGCAGGCAAATCATTGGGTGAGCTACTCATCCTGTGATTTCTGGAGTGGCTGGATTTTTTTTTTTTTTTTTTTTTTCCAGTCTCCTCAACTTGGTCTCCTTAGTAACTAGATGGAAGGAGGAGGTAGAATGGAAGAGGAGGTGGTGACCAAATGATGGGAGCCTCTTTTTATTTATTTATTTTTCCTCTAAGTAGTTGCCATTCTTCTTCTGGGGGAGAGCCAGGGGGGCACAGCCCCTCCTCACTCCCACACTTACTTTCTGTTCTCTGGCGAAGTTCCAGTTAATACTTGCCCTGCCTGAGTCTGGGTGCTGGTGGTTCTTCCCTTTCTTTCTTCTCCTCTTTAGTTGGCTTTCCTTGGTAATGTGCAGGGTGTTGAAACCCGTCAGCATTGTAGAAAGTTTAATAAGAGTGTTGATCTCACCCTGCTGTCTTCATAAATCTGTAGACAGCAGTGCAAAGAGAAAAGTGGCTGAAGAGTCCAAGATGAACATGGCATGAGAAGCTGTTCCTAAGGTCTTATGTTGACCCCCTGGGACTGGCCCCTCAGAACGTGCTCCTGAATGTGCTTTTGCTGTTGACTGTCTTTCCCAAGCTGCTCTAGGGGTTTTTTTCCTGCTACACTGAAGTGTGTTTGTTTGACACAGCCCCCTCTGTGGTGTCTTCCCATTTGTTTATTTTATCTCTTTTTTGTTAAGTTTTACCATCTGTGAAGCACCATGTACAAATCTCTCTCTCTGTGAATGGTAAATAATCATCATTTATTCAGGTACTTGTTGTACTGCCAAATAGAATGATCTGTGTGTGGATCTGAAAACTCTTAGTGAGAAGCAGTGTTATACCTCATTTCAAAATTCCAGAAGGCCCTCCCCTACCCCAACCTTGCAAAGAATGATTTGAGTTGTTCAATCCTAATTTTAGGAGTCCTGTTGATTTCATTGCTCTTAACCTTTGTTCTCCTCTGGAATGGTGCTAGAGAGCTCAGTTGTAAAATAGAATAAGCACCCACCTAGGGGTTCTCTCAAGTGGCTCCTGTCGCCTTCTTCTTTTTAATATTTATTTATTTACTTGGGATCTTCGTTCCATCACGTGGGACCTTTCAGTGCAGCACTCGGACCTTCCATTTGGTGCTCAGGCTCAGTTGTTGTGAGTGGGTTTAATTGCTCCTCAGCATGTGGGATCTTAGTTCCCTGACCAGGGATTGAACCCGCGTCCCCCACATTGCAAGACAGATTGTTGAGCGCTGGACCACTAGGGAAGCTCTTGGCCCTTGTTTTCTTAACCTTTCAGAAAGTATTTCTTCTTAAGGGACTTAAACTTATGATGAGCAGTTTGAAGAACAGTCTTGGACCCTGTCGTAGGCTAAGAACTGGAGTTTCAGTGGACTCAGGTTTATTTGCTGCATCTGTTTACTTTTCAGTGAGCTGGAACGTCTGAGCAACTTGGTGGGCAAGCCTTCTGAGAACCATCCTCTCCATAACAGCGGGCTGTTAAGTCTGGATCCCGTGCAGGACAAAACCCCTCTGTACAGTCAGCTCCTCCAGGCCTATAAATGGTCAAACAAGGTAAGGGGAATATGTCAGAAATGAAGCTAATACAGGAAAAAGCAAGCTTTCTTACATTTCGTAAAGGCAGAAAGTGAGGGTAAGTTTTTCTTTCCTTTTTTTGTTCTTGATTTGGCATGGGGTTACAGAGTTGGAAGTTTTAGACTGTCCCTGGGAGAGATTATATAGTCCTCTCAAGTCTCAGAAATTAATCATGATGCTCAGGTAATTACATTTTTAAAAAAGTTCAAACTGAGATGTGTTTAACTGGGAAACTGGGTTAGAGAGCAGTTTTTATGAACCCCATGAGATCACATGCAAAGTGTTATGCTGTGCGTGTGTGTTTCTCTGGGAAGGACTTCCTAGCTTTCATCAGATCATCAGAGGGGTTCCTGACGCCCAGGAGGTGAAGGGCTGGCGGTCTGTGAGTGCAGCTGCTCACTTTGCTTTTGTTGCTTGGCCTGCCTTCCCCGTTGTTGATGGAACACCTCTAGAGGACTGTTTGATAAATCACTCTTACTATCCTTTTTTTCCATATATTTTTAAAAATTGAAGTATGGTTGATTTATAGTATCGTATTAGTTTCAGGTGCATACATATCTATGTATATATTCTTCAGATTTTCTCACTCATCGGTTATTACAAACTGTTGAAAATAGTTCTCTGTTCTATAGAGTAAGTCCTTGCTGATTATTTATTTTATATATAGTAGTGTGTGCTCATGGAGAAGGCAGTGGCGACCCAGTCCAGTACTCTTGCCTGGAAAATCCCATGGATGGAGGAGCCTGGTAGGCTGCAGTCCATGGGGTCTGGAAGAGTCAGACATGACTGAACGACTTCACTTTCACTTTTCACTTTCATGCATTGGAGAAGGACATGGCAGCCCACTCCAGTGTTTTTGCCTGGAGAATCCCAGGGACAGTGGAGCCTGGTGGGCTGCTGTCTGTGGGGTCGCACAGAGTTGGACATGACTTAGCAGCAGCAGCAGTGCGTGCTCAGTTGCCCAGCCGTGTCTGACTCTCGGCAACCCTGTGAACTGTAGCCCGCCAGGCTCCTCTGTCCACGGAATCCTCCAGGCAAGAATACCAGAGTCGGTTGCCATTTCCTACTCCATACATATAGTAGTGTGTATATGTTAATCCCAACCTCCTAATACTCTCTTCTGTAACTACTCTGCGCCCGTCTGCAGGCGATTGCTCTAAACGCTCTCTGTTGTTCAGTTGCTCAGTCTTGTCTGACTCTTGCGACCCCACGGAAGGGCACACTCTCCATAAAATTTGCTATTCGCGGTAGTCCCGTGGCGGAGACCCTGGGACAGCTGTGAAAGGAGAACCAAGTTGGAGTGTAAAAATAACAGGAACAATTAGGCTCATAAGCCTGGCAGCAGTTAGTTTGTTTACTCACAGGTTCCTCTTGTTTGGGTGCTGTGGGTTGCTGTGTTGTGCTTTGTTTGCTTTTCCGCTGCTGATGGAAAGCTAGAGTATATGTTTGGAACGATTTTGGAAGCTTTTCTCACTAGGCTGCTGCTCCCTGGAGAGAATTGTTCTTAGCGTTACTGATTGTGATCCGCCCTTCCCCCTCCAGTTACCCATTGTCCTTCTCCTCTTTTCACTCTCGGGTCTCAGGTGACAGATGAACCGTGGCAGTGTTTCTGGTGTGTAGAATTATTCCTTTGAATTTGTGGGAGTATCTGACATCCTCTGGTCTGCAGTGGGACCCAGGCAGCTGCATCCGAGACGCAGGGAGAAGCGATTTATCGTGGGGCACTAGAGCAGGAGCTTGAACCTGGGAGGCGTGCATGTAGCTGTAAGGGCTGTCCTCCAGCCTTGGACTGCTGTGGACAGAAACCCACTTCAGCCCTGAGCCTCAGGTGCCCAGGTGGCGTGGGGACCGGTCACTCTCCTGCCCTCTGCATGCCCGCTTCCCAGTGTTGGCCTGGTGTCTCCGAGTGGTGGAAAAGACAGTCTGGCAGCTGTAGGCTTGTGTGGTCCTTCTACCGGGCAATCGCCTGGTGTCCACGCCAGATGCTGAAAACGGATGCCGGCCCTGTCTGGTAGGGGCCCCTGTCTACCCAGACAGCTTGTTGAGCTCAGCGGGTGGGATTCTCTGATTGCCCAGCGCAGATCAGCTGAAACGCAGGGAGTGGGGCTGCGTGGATAGAGGCGGGAGGGGGAGCAGGACAGACACAGAGTCAGAGCTGTCTGGGGCAGTTGCCAGGGCCAGACACCAGGCTGTTCAGGCCCCACACAGACAACACTGCCCGCTCAGACTGTCCTGTGTGAGCTTCCTTGTTTCCCCAGGGGCTTGCGTGGGCATCTCTGCATGAGTTCACTTGGTGACTGGGTGGGATCTGATGTGTAGGTGACTTATTTCTGGTTGGACGCCTGGTCTTGCCTTTTGGATGTGGAAGCTGTGTTGATATATCATGTGGGTAATGTTCTCAGAATAGGCTCAAGTGGTGGAGACTTCTCAGCGGTGGGAAGATTTAGGCTGATCTCGAAGCTGCGAGTGCCCGAGATGCCAGTGGAAATGGCTAGTTTTAAATCAAAGTGATGACACTTACCATTTGAGTGAAGGTAGTTTTGTTTGCCCAGTTTAATAGAATATTAAGCTAGAAGTCCCTGTTTCTCCCCTCTCAGATGCAAAGGAAGATGTGTTAGGGGAAAGAAGCAGTATGTATGTGGAAATCCTTGTCCTGGAGAAGCTGCAGGTTAAAACTCGATGTAGAAATGTGTCAGAGTGTAAGCCCCGCCCGAGTAGCGTGAGTGGTATCTGGGTTTCAGTCACGTCCTGGCCTGGTGCATGTTGCGAAGTCACTGTTCTTTCACTGGCTGTCTATGCCCAGCAGGGAGGGCATTTTGGACCTCTGTACCATTTCTCGGCAAAATAAGGAAAATTAGTCATAGATGTTCAGCTTATCCCCGTGTTTTATTGCCAAGCAGGTCAAGGCCCCATGAACCACCCTGCCCACGGCCTCATAGCTAGACTAGAATTTGCCTCTCCTGACTTAGCCCAGTGTTCTTTCCTCTAAAACTTGATGCTGTAATCCTGTCTGGCTTAAGGTTTTGACTGTACTAAACATTTTCCCCTCCCTTTAATCTTCTTGTCAGGAGCAATTCGTGTGTTATATTTTATTCATGAATCTGTATCACGTTTTACTCATTTTTAGTGGTTTGCTGAAGGGTGGAGATAGCAAATACATGGCCCCTGGTCCTCAGACTGTCGCTCTTGTCCAGGGCAGACGTTGCTGATCGCCCTCTGCATTCTTCCCTGCTGCGGCTCCCTCCGGACTCCCAGCTCTGTCGCGGGGCTCAGCGGCCCCTGCCAGTTATCTTAGTGGGCTGCAGAGAAGACGTATTTTTTATTTCTGTTATGGTACATAATGTGCTGTTTGGCTATTGCTTATTTATCCTGTCCTTAACTCTAGAAGGATTTGAAATCTGTTATAAGAAAGCTGTACTTTGACCTTGAAAGAAAAGAGGAAAACGAGGGTAAGGATGCCTAGGTACATGTCTTTAATAAACTCAAGAAGTAGCCCCAAGAAATAAACCAGTATTCTAATTTCCAAGTGGGATTATGGAAGCAGGAAGCAACGATAGGTGTTTGTCTTGCCTCTCCTACACGTGAAAAGAGCTTTTTAATTGCAGATGCTTTCATCATTCATCATTTTACTCTCCAAGAGTTTAAACCAGTAGGTGCATTAATATGTTAAGTGGATTTTGGGGTAACTTGCCAATGTCAGCTTTCTGCACTGTTGGCTAAGAAACTAAGAAAGTTTGGGAAAGGCTTTGATACCACCCATTTTGTGATGAACTTTCTGTTTTATGTGCTGTTGGCCAAAGAGAAGTCTTATTCACGCTTACTGACTAATTATTTTCTTAGGGGATTTTGTAATTTTTGTAAAGTCAGTCGGAATATTAATTACATGGTAGTTGGCATAATTGTTAGGATAACACATTTAAAAATTAATCTAATCTAATGAAATGATGTCAAATTGCTGTGAGCAGCACTTTCCCCGTGCTGAATTGGGGAAGGAATGTAGCTTTCAACTCTGATGCACCTATAGATAATTGTTCTGTAGAGGGATGACAAGCTCTCTTGACGAGGGCAAAAAATAATTGGCATCAGCGCTGTCCTTGTAAGATAGCGGACGTGGACTTCCCATCACTGATTGCGCCCAGATATGCCGAGCGTTAGACTGAACTGACTCCTCTAAGACCCCTTTCCGAAGGTTCCCAGCGTCTCCTCACCAGGCCTTGATTTCCAGCTTTGACTGTCTTCATTTCTTGAAGACCTCAGTGCTTCCCTGTTAACGTTTGAAGCAGCAAAGACTCCAGAAGTGTCTCCTAGGGTTAGGAAGTAGGCTCTGGGGAAGGGGCCGCCGCCGCCTTTTTTTTGTTTGTTTGTTTTTGCACGCTTAATTTTTCACTTTTGTTAGAGAAAGAGTGACTTTCTATTCAGGAATATTCAGTGGGAAAGTCTACAGACATTTCTCCCATTCTACCCTCCCGAGCTGTTCTCAGCAGAATCTGGTTTTTCAGCAGCTTGAAGTTGCTGTAACATTGATGTCCTGCAGATCCAGCCTGGACGGTGCTCTTGACGTTTGGGCATCAGGGGCTAACGGTGCTGGGATTGGTGCAAACTGCAGCAAGGAGCCTTTTTCCTTGAAGTGCGCCGTCTCTTAAGGCCTGGGGAGAGAGGCTTCGTCCATTGGGCTTCCTGGGGGAAGCCCCGCCCCAGTGCCCAGCAGGGTGCCTGGTACTCGGTGCACACTCAGTTATAATTCACTGAATGAATGAAAGAATAAATAAATAGCTTTTTCTGTTGAATTTTTAATTTACAACCCCTTTTGTGGTTTGTGCGCTTGTATTTTTGATGAAGTGTGATCAGGGCATTTCCATTTGGGGACATTACTGAGAAATCTAGTTGTGCTACTTGTAGACGAGAGAAAATTCTGAGGTCCTGTGGTGGAGGCTAGGGCCAGGCTTCAGAAGGGTAATTTGACAGGAAAGGTGGGGTCA